CAGGAGCAGCTGCGACCGCTCCTCGGCATCGCCCCCCGCCACCGGCGGTGGTGCGCTGGGACCCCCAGCCGCCGACACCACCTGCCCCGCCGAGTCCATCTCCATGGCGATGGACTGCCCCTGGGTCGCAGCTGGAGCCTCCCCGACGTCGTCAGCACTCTCCCGGCGTCCCGCCGGTGGATTCTTACGCCGCCCGCCCGATTTAGGCATAACGACGGCAGCGTAACCACTCCTGACACCAGTTGTAAAGGAGTTCCCGAAGACTCACTCGGAGGCTAAGGTAAGGTAAGGGCTTCCGCCAAGGTTTTATTACAAATCTTTAACAATACACAGGGGTGAACAACTCCCCAGGGGTTAGAGGCCCCGGGCTAGGTCCCGACACAGCCGGCTGCCCTGTGCTGTCTCCTCTGCCCCGGCCGTGGGATCAACCAACACGGCCGACCGAGGAGCACTGCCACGTCTAGCCTGGCACTGTGCTCTCCCCCATCCCTACCCTCTTGCCCCTGGCTCCCCATTCCACCCTTCTCAGACCCTACTCTACAGCTACGACCCCGCTTACGTCACGGGGTCCCCGTCTTATCCTTGAGGAGCCGTGACGTCACTCTGCTGCCCCGAGCGCATGACGTCACGTCATCGCCATGGACAGCACAAGTGACGCCACTTCCTCATTCTACTCCTCTACAGTAGTATATATGAAAAAGGTGGGAGAATCTCTTACACATTAGTCATGGGTGAAATAAATGTATTTATGTGGGATGGTACAGAGGGGAAAATAGAGCCATGAAGTTCTCTATCCCAAGAATTTGGCAGGAACCCACTGACCAATCAAGCAACTGCTGGTGGATCCTTCCAAACGTCGGATTTGCAAGAATGCGCCTATCACGTATCCAGACCTTCCTTCATCCATCGCCCCAGTGCCACACTGCCATAAGCTCCCCGTACCCACTCCTCCAGAGAGAGAGCAGCCGTCTTTAGAAGAGAGCTGCAAGTCGGAGAGCGAGGAAGACGTTGTAGATCCAGATGACAATTTAAGAGGTGAAGTTAAGGAGAGAAATCCATTCTACCTCAAGAAAAAAGACCTCAATGACTTTATCAGAGATTTTGGTCTCACCAAGTCCAATGCCGAGCTTTTTACATCTAGGCGCAAGCAGTGGAACTTGTTGGATGAAAATGTGTAAATCGCAGATCAGACGAAGCGTCACCAACCTTTTTGCTGCTTCTTCACCCGTCAAGATGGGCTCTGCTTCTGCCACAATGTGACCAGTCTGTTTGAGGCAATCGGAATCGTCTGTAACCAGAATGAGTGGTGCCTCTTCTTTGACAGCTCATCCAGGAGCCTCAAAGCCGTGCTGCTCCATAATGGTAACAAGTACCTGTCTCTTCCCCTGGCTCACTCGGTGCACCTCAAAGAGGATTCCAACAGCATCAAGACCTTTCTGGATACGAAGAGTATGGCTGGGAGATCATCGGAGACTTCAAAATGGTGGCATTCCTGATGGGTCTCCAAAATAACAAAAAACTACACCACAGACCGCTTGTGTTGCGATCGAAACGTCGAAGTTTTTGTTATTTTTCTTATTTTCTTTGAACCTACGTGACTTTACCGAAACACCCAAGAATATAATGTAATCACAAGGTCGAAAATTATGTGGAGCTGGTTGAGACTCTGGCGAAGAACTACGGCACAATGGGCTGTAGGATGTCCCTTAAAGTCCATATCCTTGATGCTCATCTTGATAAATTCAAGAACATGGGAGCCTATTCAGAGGAGCAAGGCAGCGCTTCCACCAGGATATGCTAGGCTTTGAACGCCACTACCAAGGACAGTATAACAAGAACATGATGGGAGACTACATTTAGGGGCTGATTCGTGAAAGTGATTTACAGTATAATCATAAATCTCGAAAAACTACTCACTTCTAAATCTTTTGTAGTCATTTTTATTTTATATTAGTATAAATGCATGTTAATTTTGATTCATGTTTTTTTTCTGACTTTATGTGAACGAAAAAACACAAATTCGCCCGTTTTTTCATTGAAAATGGGTAAATTTCAAAATATCAATGTCCTGGTCACAAAAGCAAAGTTTGTGGGGAATAATCGTCATTTTCTATACTTTTTAGGCATAAGCAATTATGAAACAACACTTACTACCCAGGAACAAAAATTGTGTTACATAGTGTAATGGAACAAAAAACCCTCTCTTAAAAGTTATTTATCTCCTGGGTATGAATAGAAATGCTTGCAGGTGAAAAAAAACAGAATTGGAAATTTTACCATTACTGTACACAGCATTATTTGAATTGTAAATTATTATTTCTGCACTTGGGAATAACATTTAAGGAAAGTGGCATGCCAACTAAATTCACGCATTGATAATGGGGATACGAGGGATGTGGGTTGATTCGACTGTAGTTCAGTAAATATAGCAATCTTTATGCATGGTGATCATCCTCTCTGGGAATATGATCTTTATTGCTCGTCTCATCCATGTGCAGCACAAGCGGCTGAATGAACGCACAGGAGACCAAGGCTGTACACGACAGGATACTGTGTGTTCTCTCGAGCAGCAGCAGAAACTGTAATGAAAAAATTATAATCATCATCAATTCAGCAGCATCAATATAGCACTGCTAATAGCTTAATGAATAGAATAAATGTACACTTTATATTAAGAACTACAAACTTCTCTGTGGTCCATTGGTTCCTTTAAATTAATCCATCACTAAGCCATTTTATTTTGAGTGTTTAAAGGGCAAATTAATTACATATTTAAAATGTACATTTTAGATTTATATAAGCTGCCCTGAATGTCAGAACATTGTATCTAGCACTGAGAAAACAAAATAGCATCAATCTTACACAAAGACCTCGCGATTAGACTTTTGTATAAACAGTGGGGAGCAAAACAGTGTTGCCACAATTTGACGGGATTTTTTTGGGTTCCCTAATCCTCATCAGTAATACATTATCTTTTCCAATGGTGCTATTTCTGTTGCTGCTGTAAAACTCTTGTAATAAGATTTTAATGGAACAAAATGAATATCAAGGACATTATTAAAAAAAAAACACGAAATCTGCAAGATATGCTATCACCACGGTGATATTTGTGACTAACGTGGTGTTCATAATGCAATTATTCAAATGTTATCGCAGTGTTGCCTTTTTCTGTTTGTGAGCAGGTGATATCGATTGGGAAGGATATTTAAATATGCATCTCTCATTTATACTTTTCACAAATTTGTAATTGTATTAACATAATGCTTTCATATTATTGGTTATTTTGGTAAAGTCACGAAAGCTTTAAATCAAAATATGCTTTCACTTAACACTTTAATATAAAACGTGGAGTTATCAATGTTTTTGGATAATCCTTTTCATGAGTAAGTGGACAATGGTCATGGAAGCGGTATTACCTGTTAAAGGGTGATAGCTAAACTGTGAGAGGGTCAGTTGTAATGTGGTTATCTGAGTAGTTTGCACATGATTGATTAAATTTGGATTACCCTTTGATTAGTGAAGCTTGTCCAAAAAATATATATTTGGTCGAATCTCAGGTCGGCTCGTAGGTGTGAGCAAACGATGTTCCTTTAATCTATATCCTCTTTGTTTGTCTTGATCCAAAAAAGGTGACCCCACAGAAACTTTTGTGGCCTAAATCCTACAGGGCACATAATAGGCTGCTTCATGGTGAAGGCCCAATTCTTATTGGACAGAGGATAGGCAGATGATATAAAAAGGGGACTTTTGGAGTGTTGAGCACCAGACTGGTTTGGTCCTGCACAAGAAGCAGAAATACAGGTGCTCAGAGGTGATCTACAGCTGCAATAAATTCTAAAGAAGGCGCAATGGCTCGTTTCCTGGTAATCGCTGCCGTATTGCTTGCAAGTGGTAAGATACATATTTCCATCTACGTATAGTGCTTTCTATCTTTCGAGAACTTCAAAATCTCTCATGGAGTTTCCCATCCAACTTCTCCAATTTTTCCACCAACTGATCCATCCACCTCCTCTGTCATTCCATTTTCCCCTTGCAGAATCATCTTTGTCATGTTCCAGCTGACCCTCTTAGGCTATCATCTCCCAAATTATCTTCTGCCCTTTTCTAGGACTAAACTATTGTTTTTACCGGTTAAGGCCCACTGAGCTATATAGTTATTTTTCAGAAGTTGCCTGGCCACAAATGATAACTCCACGAAGTTGCTTATCATGTGGACATTTATAGCAGCCAAGTGCTCGAAACGAATATTTCTAGATGTGGAGCGAAAAACCGGAGCCGGAGAACAATCCACATTACCTTAGGGAGAGAGACACTCCAAATATACATGCGTCGCTGTACAACCCACGACCTCCTTCATACCAGGCGAGGGAGTTAACATCTCGCTACCACGGCACCCCAGTTTCAAAAACCAGTTTGTTCCATCCAATTATTCTCTTAAGCCCTTGTTCACATTTGCTATAATCAATGATTGTGCTTCCAAGGTATTTGAATATGCGCATCTGCTCCAAGTTTCTCATGCAAGTATACTTTGATAGCAGGGGCTTTTTCTTCATCTCTTGCTTTTGCCTTCATTATTACAAATGTTGATATTCAGACCACGTTTTCTGCTTAAATTATCTATCATATCCATCAGTTCTTGGCGATCAGCTGATATAATTCACAGCATGTTAAATAAGGGCATAATACGTCAGTTATACTATCACCAATCACTACTACCAGCAGTATTACTATACAACCCTGAATAAAATACACAAACTAAATATATACCACATTCACACGTCACATTACGCTCAAGTTCCTTACTACTTGCAGTACATTATATTGAAATTGAGTATAACATGCATTTAAAGGGAGCTGCTCCAGTTATTGTACACAACCGTGTGTTTGTATTGTGTTTTGCAGTGTTGCTTGCCAGAGGACAGGAAATTGAGCATAAGAGAGAAAAACGAGCCATCTGGAACTTTGCTTGGATGATCTGGAAAGTCGTGGGAATAAATCCAGCAGAGTACAGCGGCTACGGCTGTAACTGTTTATCAACCGGTCATGGAAAACCAGTCGATGATGTGGACAGGTGATGTGCATTGTGCATTTTCCCAAGAGCATAACTGTTCCGTTATACTCCCTTTCCACCATTTTTTTCGGTTGCGGAATGAATACGTTACGAGGTCGCACTCATTACACACCAAGTGCTTGCCGCAAAAGAATCACAATACCTCGCTGATCTCGTCAAGGAGAATAAAATAATATGCGAACTCCAACCATCCCTGCAGTGGCTAGCCATCGAACAAAGATGGTCACTGCATTATGCGCTTTCAGATGCGCTTCTGCGGCCGTCTGGAACGCTCTTCCTTCAGATATTTAGGAAGCTACTGGCGCTATGCACTTTGAAATCTAGATTGAAAACTAATTTCTTTCGAACTGCTTTGTGTTAGTTTGTTGTCCTTCCCCCGCACCTCTGATTAGCATTGTTCGGTTATGTACAGTGTGAAAGACGTCCAACACACATGCAAAATTCTGGCTGTGTGTGTCTATACACAGGTGCTGTCAAGCTCACACCAAATGCTACGAGCAAGTCTACAAAATGAGTTGCTCACCGCATTGGGACCCGTATTACTTCTCCATCAGAGGAAAAGCCATACGCTGCAGTGAGTGACGCGGACCCATTTGTCTTTACACGCATGCAACACACATGCTACATGCCGCATTGCAACATCGATAACAGTGGCCATTGCTATGGTATCCATTGGCATGTACGCATACCTATAAACCCCTTATCAGTGCCTTACCTTACTATAGACCAATTGAGGCTATTGGTCACCCCGTGTCCTTATACATCTCAACGTTCATCCTTCAAAGTCCCATCACAAGGGAGAAACACAAACAAATAGACAAAAACGTGACCTTTTAAACTCAATTTCCCTGTACAATAATGTGGGTAAACCGTATGCGTTGACAGGTGTGTGCGTACGCGTTTGTTCTCTTTGGCATCTTTCAACGTGGCTATGGCGAAGGGTTACCGACATTAATGGTGCCCATTCACTTCTCTTTGTTCTCTTGACACGTCAGCCCGTGGCGGACCGCCGTGCGACGTCCACACGTGCCGCTGCGACAAGGCTGCCGTGGAGTGCTTCGCTCGCAGCCACTTCAACCGACGCTACCGCAACTTCAACCGAAAGAGATATTGCAAAAAAGAAGACGACTAGGCACACCGGTCACATTTAATGAAACCGCATTCACATACGAACAGTGACGTTCCCATGTAATGAGTTTACCCGAGAAGAACATTATAATAAAAAAACATACTTCTGCAAATAATGTATACATTGTAACAACAAATAATTTGGACAATTAATTTGACTTCTGAATCAAGATTCAGTAACTAGTGGGTAATAACCAACAAAAAATGGGATGTTTAAAACTATCTTGATCATATGTGACTGCAAAGGTGTGATTCTCTTAGTGATATACTCTAGTAATCCAGTTGTCAAATTGTGTGGTGATACGGCATTTGGCAGTGCAAAAAAGCACAATTAGCAGGAAAACAAAACGCCTTCGTCAATAACACTACCTTTAAAAAAGTTTAGGCAATGTCTTTGGGCAATGGCCATTCTTCAGAGAACACGTGCCATTTCCCAAACCATTGTCTATCAGAGTACATTACTGTACACACTTTATTAAGGCAGTTTTATTGTCAACCGTGTTCAGTTACCTTTTCGTGATGGTAAAACATACTTGCTGATTTCTCTTTCTTTCATGGTTCAATTTCAAATTTACAGCATTGTACTTTGGGAAATGATGTTATTGACGGTGTGGGGTTAATGGTTGTGCTGTGAATGTCAAATACAATAAACAGTTCTCATCAAATGCTGGTGCGTATAACTTGGGTGAAAGTGAGTTGTACAATACATTTGAAGACCCTACAAATGCATTGCACAACTCACTCGAATGGCATCTTCACTATCAGCCACAGTCAATCCACTGCTGGATGAAGGCCTCCACATGCCATATCCATCACTCATTCTGCGATGTATTAAGTACCTGCACATTACCTGATTTCATAGTTTTGGCTGCCCAGTGGCTCCACAGCTTAGACACTTCGTGCTTCTTGGGCTGCCATTCCGTTATTATGTATTTTAGGTCAACGTTTGATTCACCGCATGTTGTGCATAGCTATGGTGAGATCAAGAAGGTGTTCTGTTCGTACTAAGTGATTCAGAGCACTTCATACTCCTTCACCTGCCCAAGTGAATGTTAGGAAGCCACTAGGAGATATGCACTCTTAAATCTAGATTAAAAAATAATAGCTTTAGAACAGCTTTATGTGAAAGAATTTCAACATACACACACGCACGTTGAAAAATCTCATTCCATCATCGCTTACGATTTAACTCCACAGTACCATCGCCAACATATTCGTTTGAGAGATTGTATACTCGACAGAGTATTCCAATTATGATATAGTGATTATCAAGTTTAGTAGTAAAAATATTTCAGCCTGTTTGGTAATACGCTGATTACAACTGAAAACAACCTCTTTAGAAGACAGTTCGTTACTAGTTATGCTCATATAGGATTTTGAAAAGTTGATAAAAAGGTTACATAATGTAAGCATTTAAAACTGTGTTATTCTGCTTTTCCATCACATCTTGATTGTTTTGCTTAGAATTTCCGTGACCGATAATACACCCATTCCATACAGTCACTCTGCATAGTATCTATGGGTATTACTAAGAGGCTGTAAGAGGTTTGTCAAAATGTCCATTAGATTATGTCTCAACATAAAGGATGAGCAACTACGGTGTTCATGGCAATTCTATGAAGCGAGAAAATATACACTGGGCCGTATTCTGTTTTTGACAAAAAACATGGCAATCACTGTGCTTAATAGTTGGTGCATGAAATGTAGTTTAATCATCCTTGCAGCTCTCAAATGTGGAGAGAAATGTTAGACAATGTTTTGGACAACATGCGGTACAACGTGGAAACACATCAGATAACTATGCAGCACAAATAAGTATTTAAATGCAGTATTATTTTACCAGCCTTGTTATTGAGTTGAATATATACATATGTCTCGGCCTCGCTGTGTGCTGCATTGCACCACTATCTGAGTAGTTAACCTTGCATTCAATACACTTTCAGAGCCAGGGTGAACAACCGACTCCAACGTATTTAATTAATAGAACGAGGTAAAACTGATGGAAAAACTCAGCACAAAATACAGCATCTGTTAATACTTGCAATATCGATACAATAAATGAACACAAGGAGCATCATAACATTGTCTGAGATAATGTGAAACTCAACAATAGGTCCTGGATAGACAGGGCTTCTACATTAGCAATGAATAGCTATACAATAGAATAAGCTATATTAAATAAGGTCACATCGTGTACTCACCATACTGTAGCCTAAATGTACACCGCTGCACATAACACTGAACTGTGGATGAGAAACTTCTTCATCCTTGCTCTCAAGATCGCATTAAAGTTACATGGGTACAAGTCTGGCTCGATTTATCCAACTACAAGTAACATTCACAATAATGCAAGTGGCAGGCTTCGTTGTTAACTAGGCCTCATATTTATAATAACAATTTAACAGCATTATAAAGGCAGTTGCAGCATTATAATGGAAATCCTAACATTATAACACCATTCCCAGTATTATAAGAACATAAACGAACTTACAGACAATGCTTCTGAAAGTCCCACAATGAACAGATGCACCTGTCTTCACCGAGACGCTATTTGTGCCTCCATTCTGTACTCTGTGTAATGGCTGACACCGTGCCACATGGCTTAGAGAATCTTAAATCGTAACTTCCTGGTCACGTGACCAAACTCAACACCATATAAGGAAATTCCTGTGTACGCACACCCCTATACTTGGTGTGAGGCAGAACAACATATATTGCGTGAATAAATTAAACTTAGTGACACACTTGAAATATTGATTCTGAACTGAGAAGACTAGTGTGTTCATGTGGATGATCATCACTTTAAGGCGAGTTTGCATTTCCCATCATCACATCACCAGTGCCTCATAACATCGGTGGTCATCTCTGGTTTGTTTTGACATAGACTAAATCAAACCAAGAACAACAGTGTCAAAGAACTTCCACGTTGAACATTGACAGCCCTTACCCATTGACATGGCACTGCCAATAACAACAACAAATTGTGCTTGTGCAGTGAAAACGATGCAAACGTTACAAACTTCATCAACATTTTCATAAATTCCTGCTTTGTTTAAAGGTGTTTTCAGAAGGGTCGGTCAAGCATCACCACAGTAACGCCTCTTCATCCATTTGTCTGGATCTGGACAAGTCGATCGAGTGGAGGTGTTGCTGTCCGTGCTTCGAGGATGGGCAGGGTTGGCCAGCAGATGGGCGTATGCTGAGGGAGTGCCACGTTTGGGGATGTGAGGAGAATAAACAAGGCTTTTCAGAGCGTCAGGTTAATCCAATCCTGGTTCGTCAAGCCTCTTGTTGTTGGTACCACCCCCTCCCCCCAGCTATCTTGTCAGCGGTCATCTGAAGGTGGCATTGTTTCTGAAGTGGAGGCAATGATGGCTTGCGTGTTGTTGACTGCAGCTGTTGCGTTGATTGCAGGTGGTATATTGTCTCACTGTATGATAAGACTGTGTAACAATTTTTTTCATGTAATTTTTGTTCCTGGGTAGTTTGTGTTATCTCCTAATTGCTTATGCCTTAAAAAAGTACAGAAAATGGCTATTATTACCCACAAACTTTGCTTTTGTGACCAGGACAGTGATATTTTGAAATTTACCTATTTTCCAGAACATTCCAGATAGATTCAGTGCTGAGAAAACTTGGAGTAACTTCTAGAACATTCTACAACTTTCCAGTAATATAAATAGTAGTATAAATACAGGGGTCATAAGCCCACCATTTCAGTTTCGTTCCAGCTGCCTAAGTGGATACAAATCTACATTTTTTACGAGATGGCATCAAGAGGCTGCAAGCATCCGGCAGGTGCATTTTGCTATGTCTGCGGCCAATTTTTCAAGACAAGAGCGAAAAAGTACTCTGTGGAAGCATCTGCTAAGATGTGTGAGGTCTACAAGGCATATTTCGGCATACCTGTCGGGGATCAAGACAAACCCTGGGCACCTCATTTCACCTGCGAGCAATGCAAAAATACTTTGGAAGGAAAGATGGACATTTGTTGATCGGAATCTAATGTTATGAAATGTTAAAAAAGTATTATTGTAAAAGTTTTTTATTTTTTAAATGTTTTACAATTTTCAATGTTATTGAAAAAATATATCATACTAGCCTTTTGCCCGTCCAAGTACGGGTGTTTTTCAGTACATTTGAAACTTGCAAGCGAAAATCAGACTGCGACAAGATATTAATTGCATCAATTCGTGTGCAATTTCTAAGGCCGCGGTGAAACAGAATTGTTTCATTTTAAGGTTATAATCCCTTATTCATCATGACGTCCTTTTAACTTCTATGTCTCTATAGCGTTACGGCGATCGCGTGATGTGAGGGTTCTGCCTTTGTAGTGAGGGTTGTAAGTTGATGCAGGAGGGGGGAGGAGGTACCTCGCCCCCCTCATGTAGAGTGACATCACCCGCTAATTATTATTAATGGTGGGGGTGTCCATTTGGAGGACATCACCTGTTCATGATTATTAATGAGGGAGGCTTGCCGACGTGGAGTGACCTTACGCGTGGGACACACAGACATTCTTGGCTCATTATAGTAGTAAATATGAAAAATGTTGTGAGAATCTCTTACACATTAGTCATGGGTGAAATAAATGTATTTTTGTGGGATGGTACAGAGGGGAAAAGAGAGCCATGAAGTTCGTTATCCCAAGAATTTGACGGGAACCCACTCACCAATCAAGCAACTGCTACTTCAGTATGGTGGACCCTTCCAAACGTTCGACTGGCAAGAATGCACCTGCTATCACGCATCCATCGCCCCAGTGCCACACTGCCATAAGCTCCCTGTACCCACTCCTCCAGAGAGAGAGCAGCCGTCTTTAGAAGAGAGCTGCAAGTCGGAGAGCGAGGAAGACGTTGTAGATCCAGATGACAATTTAAGAGGTGAAGTTGAGGAGAGAAATCCGTTATACCCCAACCAAAAAGACCTCAATGACTTTATCAGAGATCTTGGTCTCACCAAGACCAATGCCAAGCTTTTGACGTCTAGGCTCAAGCAGTGGAACTTGTTGGATGAAAATGTGCAAGTCGCAGATCAGAGGAAGCGTCACCAACCTTTTTGCCGCTTCTTCACCCGTCAAGATGGGCTCAGCTTCTGCCACAATGTGACCAGTCTGTTTGAGGCAATTGGAATCGCCTGTAACCAGATTGAATGGTGCTTCTTCATTGACAGCTCATCCAGGAGCCTCAAAGCCGTGCTGCTCCATAATGGTAACAAGTACCTGTCTCTTCCCCTGGCTTACTCGGTGAACCTCAAAGAGGATTCTAACAGCATCAAAACCTTGCTGGATGCCTTGAAGTATAATGAGTATGGCTGGGACGTCATCGGAGACTTCAAAATGGTGGCATTCCTGATGGGTCTCCAAAATAACAAAAAACTACAACACAGACAACCGCTTGTGTTGCGATCGAAACGTCGAAATTTTGTGTTATTTTTCTTATTTTCTTTGAACCTATCTATGTGACTTTACCGAAACACCCAAGAAAATAATGTAATCACAAGGTCGAAAATTATGTGGAGCTGATTGAGACTCTGGCGAAGAACTATGGCACAATGGGCTGTAGGATGTCCCTCAAAGTCCATATCCTTAGTGCTCATCTTGATAAATTCAAGGAGAACATGGGAGTCTACTCAGAGGAGCAAGGCGAGCGCTTCCACCAGGATATACTGGACTTTGAAGGACAGTATAACGAGAACATAATGGGAGTCTACATTTAGGGGCTGATTCGTGGAAGTGATTTACAGTATAATCGTAAATCTCGAAAACTACTCACTTCTAAATCTTTTGTAGTCATTTTTGATTAAATTTAATATAATTATTTTAGTATAAATACATGTTAATTTTGATTCATGTTTTTTTTCTGACTTTATGTGAACGAAAAGACAAAAATTCGCCCATTTTTAATTGAAAATAGGTAAATTTCAAAATATCACTGTCCTGGTCACAAAAGCAAAGTTTGTGGGGAATAATAGCCATTTTCTATACTTTTTAGGCATAAGCAATGACGAAATAACCTTTACTACCCAGGAACAAAAATTGTGTTACATAGTGTAATGGAACAAAACAACCCTCTCTTAAAAGTTATTTATATACTGGGAATGAATAGAAATGCTTGCAGGTGAAATAATTTAAAATGGAAATTTTACCATTACTGTACACAGCATTATTTGAATTGTAAATTATTTCTGCATTTGGGAATAATGTTTAAGGAAAGTGGCATACCAACTTAATTCACTCATTAATAATAGGAATACGAGGGATGTGGATTGATTCTACTGTTCTTCAGTAAATATAGCAATCTTTGTGCGTGGTGATCATCCTCTCTGGGAATATGATCTTCATTGCTCGTCTCATCCATGTGCAGCACAAGCGACTGAATGAACGCACAGAAGGAGACCAAGGCTGTACACGACGGGATACTATGTGTTCTGTCTCGCAGCAGCAGAAACTCAAATACAATAATAATAATTATCATCATCAATTCAGCAGCATCAATATAGCACTGCTGATAGCTTAATGAATAGAATAAATGTACACTTTATATTAAGAACTACAAACTTCTCTGTGGTCCATTGGTTCCTTAAAATTAATCCATCACAAAGCCATTTTATTTTGAGTGTTTAAACGGCAAATGAATTACACATTTAAAATGTACATTTTAGATTTATATAAGCTGCCCTGAATGTCAGCACATTTTATCTAGCACTGAGAAAACAAAATAGTGTCAATCCTACACAAAGACCTCGCGATTAGACTTTTGTATAAACATTGGCTAGCAAAAACAGTAATATCTTTTTGCAATGGTGCAATTTTTTTGTTGCTATAAAACTCACGCAATATGATTTTCATGGAATAAAATGAATGATATTAAGGACATTATATAAAAAACAAGACCAAATCAGCAAGATATGCTATCACCACGGTGATATTTGTGATTAACGTGGTGTTCATAATGCAATTATTCAAATATTATCGCAGTATTGCCTTTTTCTGTTTGTGAGCAGGATATGTAAATATGTATCTCTCTTATACACTTTTCACAAATTTGTAATTGTATAACAGCATGATTTTACTTAATACTTTAATATAAAACGTAGAGTTATCGATGTTTTTGGATAATCCTTTGCATGAGTAAGTGGACAATGTTCATGGAAGCGGTATTACCTGTTAAAGGGTGATAGCTAAACTGTGAGAGGGTCAGTTGTAATGTGGTTATCTGAGTAGTTTGCACATGATTGATTAAAGTTCGATTACCCTTTGATTAGTGAAGCTTGTCCAAAAAATATATATTTGGTCGAATCTCAGGTCAGCTCGTAGGTGTGAGCAAACGATGTTCCTTTAATCTATATCCTCTTTTTTTCTTGTCTTGATCTAAAAAAAGGTGACCCCACGGAAACTTCTGTGGCCCAAATCCTACAGGGCACATAATAGGCTGCTTCATGGTGAAGGCCCAATTCTGATTGGACAGAGGATAGGCAGATAATGATATAAAAACGCAACTTTTCGAGTGTTGAGCACCAGACTGGTTTGGTCCTGCACAAGAAGCAGAAATACAGGTGCTCAGAGGTGATCTACGGCTGCAATAAATTATCAAGAAGGCGCAATGGCTCGTGTCCTGGTAATCGCTGCTGTTCTGCTTGCAAGTGGTAAGATACATGTTTCCATCTACGTATAGTGCTTTCTATCTTTCGAGAACTTCAGCATCTCTCATGGAGTTTCCCATCCAACTTCTCCCATTTTTCCACCATCTGATTCATCCACCTCCTCTGTCCTTCCATTTTCCCCTTGCAGAAACACATTTTTCATATGTTCCAGCTGACCCTCTTAGGCTATCTCCCAAATAATCTTCTGCCCTTTTTGTAAGACTAAACTAAACAATTCTTTTTATTGGGTAAGGCCCACTGAGCTATATAGTTCTTTTTCAGAAGTGACCTGGGCACAAATGATAGCTCAACGAAGTGGGCTATCATGTGGATATTTATACCAGCAAAATACTCTAAACTAATATTTCTAGATGTGGAGCGAAAAACCGGAGGAGCCGGAGAAAAATCCACATTACCTTAGGGAGAAAGACACTCCAAATATACAGGCTTCCAGGTAACACCCACCACCTCCTTAATACCAGGCGAGGGAGTTAACATCTCGCGACCACGGCACCCCAGTTTCAGAAAACCAGTTTGTTCCATCCAATTATTCTCTTAAACTCTTGTTCACATTTGCTATTTTCAATGATTGTGCTTCCAAGGTATTTTAGTATGTACACCTTCTCCAAGTTCCTCATGCAAGTATACTTTGATAGCAGGGGCTTTTTCTTCATCTCTTGCTTTTGCCTTCATTATTACAAATGTTGATTTTCAGACAACGCTTTCTGCTTAAATTATACATCCTAACCATCAGTTATTGGCGATCAGCTGATATAATTAACAGCATGTTAAATCAGGACAAAATACGTCAGTTATACCATCACCAATCACTACTACCAGCAGAATTACAACTATACAACCCCGAATAAAACACAAACTAAATATATACCTCATTCACACGTCAATTTAGGCTCAAGTTGCTTACTACTTGCAGTACATTATATTGAAATTGAGTATACCATGCATTTTAAAAGGTAGCTGCTCCAGTTATTGTACACAACCGTGTTTTTGTATTGTGTTTTGCAGTGTTGCTTGCCAGAGGACAGGAAATTGAGCATAAGAGAGAAAAACGAGCCATCTGGAACTTTGCTTGGATGATCTGGAAAGTCGTGGGAATAAATCCGGCAGAGTACAGCGGCTACGGCTGTAACTGTTTATCAACCGGTCATGGAAAACCAGTCGATGATGTGGACAGGTGATGTGCATTGTGCATTTTCCCATGAGCATAACAGTTCCGTTATACTCCCTTTCCACCCTTTTTTTCGGTTTGCGAACGAATACGTTACGAGGTCGCACTCATTACACACCAAGTGGTTGCCACAAAAGAATCACAATACCTCGCTGATCTCGTCAAGGAGCATAAAACAGTATGCGAACTCCAGCCATCCTTGCAGTGGCTAGCCATCGAACAAAGACAGTCACTGCATTATGCGCTTTCAGATGCGCTTCTGCGGCCGTCTGGAACGCTCTTCCTTTAGATATTTAGTAAGCTACTGGCGCTGTGCACTTTGAAATGTAGATTGAAAACCAATTTATTTAGAACTGCTTTGTGTGTTAGATTGTTGTCCTTCCCCCGCACCTCAGATTAGCATGGCTCGGCTATGTACGGTGCGAAAGACTTCCAACACACATACATACTTAACAGCCAGCCAGCTAATGCAGTCAGTATCCATTAGCAATTCTGGCTGTGTGTGTCTACACACAGGTGCTGTCAAGCTCACACCAAATGCTACGAGCAAGTCAACAAAATGAGTTGCTCACCGGATTGGGACCCGTATTATTTCTCCATCAGAGGAAAAGCCATACGCTGCAGTGAGTGACGCGGATGCATTTGTCTTACACGCATGCAACACACATGCTACATGCCGCATTGCAACATCGATAACATTGGCCATTGCTATTGTGTCCATTGGCATGTACGCATACCTATAAACCCCTTATCAGTGCCTTACCTTACTATAGACCAATTGAGGCTATTGGTCACCCCGTGTCCTTATAAATCTCAACGTTCATCCTACAAAGTCCCATCACAATGGAGAAACACAAATAGACACTCACTACTACACTCACCACTCCTCGTACACTCACCACTACATACATATCAACCCCTTACAGACCAATTTAGACTATATTGGTCACTCCGTGCCCTTTATAAATCTCAACGTTCATCCTACAACGTCCCATCACAAGGGAGAAACACAAATAGACAAAAACATGACTTTTTAAAACTCAGTTTCCCTGCACAAGAATGCGGGTAAACCGTATGGGTTGACAGGTGTGTGCGTACGCGTTTGTTCTCTTTGGCATCTTTCAACGTGGCTATGGCCGAGGGTTACCGACATCAATGGTGCCCATTCACTTCTCTTTGTTCTCTTGACACGTCAGCCCGTGGCGGACCGCCGTGCGACGTCCACACGTGCCTCTGCGACAAGGCTGCCGTGGAGTGCTTCGCTCGCAGCCACTTCAACCGACGCTACCGCAATTTCAACCGAAAGAGATATTGCAAAAAAGAAGACGACTAGGCACACCGGTCACATTTAATGCAACCGCTTTCACATATGAACAGTGACATTCCCATGTAATATACGAGTTTACCCGAGATCAACATGATAACGTATAAAAAAATATTACATACAACTGCAAATCATATATACATTGTAACAACATTATTTAGACTTAATTTGACTTCTGAATCAAGATTTCAATCTCAACTAAATTCAAACAATGATTATTTACATGCTGTGTTGATCAAATATACGTGTGGGCCGTTTTCCTCATTCGTGTGTTCAGTAACTCTAGTTGGTAATAACAAACCAAAAAATGGGCTGTTTAAAACTATCTTGATCATACGTGACTGCAAAGGTGTGATTCTCTTGGTTATATTCTCTAGTAATCCAGTTGTCAAATTGTGTGATGATACCGCATTTGGCAGTGGGGCAAAAATACTCAATTAGCAAAGAAACAACACGCCTTCGTCAAAAACACTGCCTTTAAAAAAGTTTAGGAAATGTCTTTGGGCAATGGCCGTTCTTCAGAGAACACGTGCCATTTCCCAAACCATAGCCTATCACAGTACATTACTGTATACACTTTATTAAGGTTGTTTTATTGTCAACCGTGTTCATTTACCTTTTGGTGACGGTTAAACATACTTGCTGATTTCTTTTTCTTCCATGTCTAAATTTCAAATTTACAGCATTGTATTTTGGGAAATGATGTCATTGACGGTGTGGGCTTAATGGTTGTGCTGTGAATGTCAAATACAATAAACAGTTCTAATCAAATGCTGGTGCGTATAACTTGGGTGAAAGGAGTTGTGCAATACATTTGAAGACCCTACAAATGATAACTGTGCGCAGAAAAGTCACAATTAAAAAAATCACACAGTAAAAATCTACTCGATTGGCATCATCACCATCAGCCACAATCAATCCACTGCTGGATGAAGGCCTCCACATGCCATATCCATCACTCATTCTGCGATGTAATAAGTACCTGCACATTACCTGATTTCATAGTTTCGTCTACCAAGTAGATCCACAGCTCAGACACTTTGTGCTCCTTGGGCTGCCATTCCGTTATTATTTCTTATAGTTCAACGTTTGATTCACGACATGTTGTGCATAGCTATGGTGAGATCAAGGTGTTCTGTTCGGTGAATATTAGGAAGCCACTGGGGGCTATGCACTCTTAAATCTAGATTTAAAAATCATTTCTTTAGAACTGCTTTATGTGAAATAATTTCAACAAACATACACATACGTTGAAATATCGCATTCCATCATCGCTTACAATTTAACTCTACAGTACCATGGCCAACATATTTGTTTGAGAGATTGTATACCCTACAGAGTATTCCAATTATGATATAGTGATTATCAAGCTTAGGAGTGGTAAAAAAATATTTCAGCCTGTTTGGTGTATGCTGATTACAACTGATAACCTATTTAGAAGAGAGTTCATTACTAGTTATGCTCTTATAGGATTTTGAAAAGTTGATAAAAGTTTACATAACGTAAGCAATTAAAACTGTTATTCTGCTTTTCCAACACATCTTGATTGATTTGCTTAGAATTTCCGTGACCGATAATACACCAATTCCATACAGTCACTCTGCATAGTATCTATGGGTATAGATACTATGCAGAGTAAGTGGAACGCCAGTGTGATGGCTCACACTGGTGTTCTACTTACACATCTCAGCGGCACCAGCACAAGATTCCACACTAGAGGTGGCTTTCCACTGGCTATTTCATCCAGAAGCAAACCGTGAAACTCTGACCTCGCAATACTTCTCAATGTGGCTCGGGGGGTGGGGAGGGGGGGGTTAGCAAGGCAAGGTTAATAAATTTGCGATATCATTATTATTTTAAAATAATCCATTGCATGTGATGTCAGTGGCATGGCCTTGGTTCTGCAGTGGGAAAAAAAAAACCAAGGTGATGCCTCGAGTCACACCAGGCAGTCCCGATATTGCCCACGATGGCTGTTGTGCAGTGGAGAAGAGCTATCAGTAGTCCAACGGAGTCATTAGCTGTCTGAGCACTGTTAAATTGATATATGTGTAGGGACTGACTCGTAGACACAACAGTAGGAGGCACTATATTTATTACAGCCCTCACAGGTATGAGAGGCAACTACATTACGGTCTGTACAGCTAACAGGCTGCCTGACCAACAGCTACCAACCGTCGCTCGGGGTCCCCCTTTAATCAACCTAGTATGGCCCCCTCCGCCTTCGCCACGCCCCCTTCTAGAACTCACTAGAAGGTTCCCGGGCTTTGCCACAGGTCCCCTCTATCACCCTTGCCTCGCGTTCCCTCTGTCCCCTTGCCTCACGTCACTTTTTCCCGTCTCCTGACCTCCTGCTGGCAGACAGGGCTACTGCCGAACCCCTCTGTGCCAGTAACCAGCGCTATGTGCCATAGTGACACATTCCCTGTCACTACACATGTTGAAAATGTAGTTTATGACAAACTTGAAAATTTGTCAAACTGTCCATCGTGTACTCACCATACTGTAGCCTAAATGTACAGCGCTGCACATAACACTGAACTGTGGATGAGAAACTTCTTCATCCTTGCTCTCAAGATCGCATTAAAGTTACATGGGTACAAGTCTGGCTCGACTTATCCAACTACAAGTAAGATTCACAATAATGCAAGTGGCAGGCTTCGTTGTTAACTTTGCCTCATATTTATAATAACAGTTTAACAGCATTATAAAGGCATTTGCAGCATTATAACGGCAATCCTAACATTATAACAGCATTCCCAGTATTATAAGAACCTAAACGAACTTACAGACAATGCTTCTGAAAGTCCCACAATGAACAGATGCACCTGTCTTCACCGAGACGCTATTTGTGCCTCCATTTTGTACTCTGTGTAATGGCTGACACCCTGCCACATGGCTTTGAGAATCTTAAATCGTAACTTCCTGGTCACGTGACCAAACTCAACACCATATCAGGAAATTCCTGTGTACGCACACCCGCATACCTGGCGTGAGGCAGAACAACATATATTGCGTGAATAAATTAATTTTAGTGACACACTTGAAATATTGATTCTGAACTTAGAAGAGTAGTGTGTTCATGTGGATGATCATCACTTTAAGGCGAGTTTGCATTTCCCATCATCACATCACCAGTGCCTCATAACATCGGTGGTCATCTCTGGTTTGTTTTGACATAGACTAAATCAAACCAAGAACAACAGTGTCAAAGAACTTCCACGTTGAACATTGGCAGCCCTTACCCATTGACATGGCACTGCCAATAACAACAACAAATTGTGCTTGTGCAGTGAAAACGATGCAAACGTTACAAACTTCATCAACATTCCTGCTTTGTTTAAAGGTGTTTTCAGAAGGGTCAGTCAAGCATCACCACAGTAACGCCTTTTCATCCATTTGTCTGGATCTGGACAAGTCGATCGAGTGAAGGTGTTGCTGTCCGTGCTTCGAGGATGGGCAGGGTGGGCCAGCAGATGGGTGTATGCTGAGGGAGTGCCACGTTTGGGGATGTGAGGTGAATAAACAAGGGTTTTCAGAGCGTCGGGTTAATCCAATCCTGGTTCGTCAAGCCTCTTGTTGTTGGTACCACCCCCTCCCCCCAGCTATCTTGTCAGCGGTCATCTGAAGGTGGCATTGGTTCTGAAGTGGAGGCAATGATGGCTTGCGTGTTGTTGACTGCAGCTGTTGCGTTGATTGCAGGTGGTATATTGTCTCACTGTATGATAAGACTATGTAACAATTTTTTTCATGTAATTTTTGTTCCTGGGTAGTTTGTGTTATCTCCTAATTGCTTATGCCTTAAAAAAGTACAGAAAATGGCTATTATTCCCCACAAACTTTGCTTTTGTGACCAGGACAGTGATATTTTGAAATGTACCTATTTTCCAGAACATTCCAGATAGATTCAGTGCTGAGAAAACTTGGAGTAACTTCTAGAACATTCTACAACTTTCCAGTAATATAAATAGTAGTATAAATACAGGGGTCATAAGCCCACCAGGTCAGTTTCGTTCCAGCTGCCTAAGTGGATACAAATCTACATTTTTTTACGAGATGGCATCAAGAGGCTGCAAACATCTGGCAGACGCATTTTGCTGTCTGCAGCCAATTTATCAAGACAAGAGCGAAAAAGTACTCTGTGGAAGCATCTGCTAAGAAGTGTGAGGCCTACACGGCATATTTCGGCATGCCTGTCGGGGATCAAAACAAACCCTGGGCACCTCATTTCACCTGCGAGCAATGCAAAAATACTCTGGAAGGAAAGATGGACATTTGTTGATCGGAATCTAATGTTATGAAATGTAAAAAAATTACTATTGTAAAAGGGTTTAATTTTTAAATGTTTTACAATTTTCAATGTTATTGAAAAAAATATATCATACTAGCCTTTTGCCCGTCCAAGCACGGGTGTTTTTTAGTAAATTTTAAACTTGCAAGCGAAAATCAGACTGCGACAACACATTAATTGCATCAATTCGTGTGCAATTTCTAAGGCCGCGGTGAAACAGAATTATTTCATTTTAAGGTTATAATCCCTTATTCATCATGACGTCCTTTTAACTTCTATGTCTCTATAGCGTCACGGCGATCGCGTGATGTGAGGGTTCTGCCTTTGTAGTGAGGGTTGTAAGTTGATGCAGGAGGGGGGAGGAGGTGCCTCGCCCCCCTCATGTAGAGTGACGTCACCCGCTAATTATTATTAATGGTGGGGGTGTCCATTTGGAGGACATCACCTGTTCATGATTATTAATGAGGGGGGCTGGCCGACGTGGAGTGACCTTACGCGTGGGACACACAGACATTCTTGGCTCATTATAGTAGTAAATATGAAAAATGTTGTGAGAATCTCTTACACATTAGTCATGGGTGAAATAAATGTATTTTTGTGGGATGGTACAGAGGGGAAAAGAGAGCCATGAAGTTCGTTATCCCAAGAATTTGACGGGAACCCACTCACCAATCAAGCAACTGCTACTTCAGTATGGTGGACCCTTCCAAACGTTCGACTGGCAAGAATGCACCTGCTATCACGCATCCATCGCCCCAGTGCCATACTGCCATAAGCTCCCTGTACCCACTCCTCCAGAGAGAGAGCAGCCGTCTTTAGAAGAGAGCAGCAAGTCGCAGAGCGAGGAAGATGTTGTAGAGCCAGATGACAATTTCAGAGGTGGAGGTGAGGAGAGAAATCCGTTCTACCCCAACCATAAAGACCTCAATGACTTTATCAGAGATCTTGGTCTCACTAAGTCCAATTCCGAGCTTTTGACGTCTAGGCTCAAGCAGTGGAACTTGTTGGATGAAAATGTGCAAATCGCAGATCAGAGGAAGCGTCACCAACCTTTTTGCTGCTTCTTCCCCCATCAAGATGGGCTCTGCTTCTGCCACAATGTGACCAGTCTGTTTGAGGCAATCGGAATCGTCTGTAACCAGAATGAATGGTGCTTCTTCATTGACAGCTCATCCAGGAGCCTCAAAGCCGTGCTGCTCAGTAATGGTAACAAGTACCCGTCTCTTCCCCTGGCTCACTCGGTGCACCTCAAAGAGGATTCTAATAGCATCAAAACCTTGCTGGATGCCTTGAAGTATAATGAGTATGGCTGGGAGGTCATCGGAGACTTCAAAATGGTGGCATTCCTGATGGGTCTCCAAAATATCAAAAAAACTACACCACAGACGAACGCTTGTGTTGCGATCGAAACGTCGAAGTTTTTGTTATTTTTCTTATTTTCTTTGAACCTATCTACGTGACTTTACCGAAACACCCAAGAATATAATATAATCACAAGGTCGAAAATTATGTGGAGCTGGTTGAGACTCTGGCGAAGAACTACGGCATAATGGGCTGTAGGATGTCCCTCAAAGTCCATATCCTTGGTGCTCATCTTGATAAATTCAAGGTGAACATGTGAGCGTACTTGGACGAGCAAGGCGAGCGCTTCCACCAGGATATACTGGACTTTGAACGCCGCTACCAAGGACAGTATAACAAGAACATGATGGGAGACTACATTTAGCAGCTGATTCGTGAAAGTGATTTACAGTATAACCCTAAATCTCGAAAAACTACTCACTTCTAAATCTTTAGTAGTCATTTTTTATTAAATTTAATATGATTATTATTTTAGTATAAATACATG